ACTTCTGGGACAGACTGCTTGGAAAGTTCACAAAGTTCCTGAGCTAAACTGTCTGAATTCCACTACAGATCGTCTCGCCATTAAAACCCAGAAGTGTCTGGATCAGAACTGGCCACTTTTTTCCTCCAACTATTTAGAGGAAATGTGTAATTCACAATCACTTGGAATAGAATTCATTGCTCAACCTGGCACCTGGTATCTGGCAGAAAGTGTTGGAATAAATCATTAAATAGCAGTTAAAGTGCCATCTATTAAAGTCCTCTTGTCCAATTTAAATATACCTCAGTCAAAAATGGTTTCCTCTTCCCTCCCTCTGCATCCCTATGATAGTTATGGGGATGTTAGTTAGTTAATGAATGCTTATTAATTGTTCTCAGGTCAGATAGCTGATAATTGACAAATTTAGAATCCAACTGTACTAAGTTGAATGATGTCTTCCCAAAATCCATGTCCATTGGAACTTTGGAATGTGACTTTATTTGAAAATAATGTCTTCACAGATGCATTCGAGTTAAGATAAGGTCATACTAGGTTAGAGTGGGCCTAAATCCAATGATTAGTGTCATTATTGGAAGAAGGAAATTTGGGGGTGCCTGAGTGGTTCAGTCAATTAAGCGTCTGACTTCAGCTCAGGTCATGATCTCATAGTTTGTGAGTTCAAGCCCTGCATCAGCTCTCTGCTGTCAGTGCAGAACCTGTTTTGGATTCTCTGTCACCCTCCCTCTGTGCCTCTCTCCCATGCGTGTGCAGTCTCTCTCTCTTTCTCGCCCACTCAAAAAATAAATAAACATTAAAAAGAAGATGAAGAAGGAAATTTGGAAACAAAGATACAGTAGGAAAACAGAGAAGGCCATGTAAACACGGAGGCAGAGATTAGAGTCATGTTGCCAAAGCCAGGGATTGCTGGCAACCACCAGGTGCTCAGAAGAGGCGAGGAAACAGTCTTCCCTGGAGTCTTCAGGGGAAACATGGCCCTGCCAATTTTGAACTTTTAGCCTCCAGACCTGCGAGAGATGAAATTTCTGTTGTTTTGGTGGGTGGTTCAGTCAGTTAAGCATTTGACTTTCGGTTCAGGTCATGATCTCACCATTTGTGAGTTCAAGCCCCACTTCAGGTGAGCTTAAGCCCAGTTTCAGGGTCTGCACTGACGGTGCGGAGCCTGCATGGGATTCTCTCTCTGTTCCTCTCTCTCTGCCCCTTGCTCAGTTGTGCTCTCTCTCAAAAATAAATAAGCAAATAAATAATGTTTAATAAATGAATAAAGATAAATTTCTGTTAAGTCACCCACTTTGTGGCAATCTGTGACAGCAGCCCTAGTCCTAGCCCTAGGACACTAATACACCAGCCTGAGTCTGTCAGTGGCTAACTCTTCATATTTAGCCACTATGACATGCTGTCCTGCGTCTGCAGCACCTAAATTGTGTCCTTCATGGTACATTTCTCAGATGCCTCGTATTTCACAGTAGGAGACGGATGGTGCACCCAGAACTCAAGGTGGGGATGGAGGGGGTGGGGAAGAGGTAAAATGATTGCAAGGTAGAGAATGGGCAGGGCTATTTCTTGGAAAGGGGCCCAAACTTGATTACAGTCTGAACCTGTGGTTTAGCAGAAAAGGGGAAATGCATATGACTATGAAGGAAGTATCATGCACTAGAAAGAAAGCCAAGACTGGAGACTACAAGGTCTGCCATGAACCAGCTCTGTGATCAGGCACATGACATTCAGATGTGGCTGCTTTGACACAGACTATTCCACTTGGGAACATTGAGGCATGGCCTCAAAAACAAAATATTAACCTTTCAGCTTTAAAAAATTCCCAAGCTCCTCATCCATTCCCACTCAGTCCCCAATCCTCTGTCCATAATTCCTGCTTCTGACATAGCAGACACTTAACTTTTGAAGAAAGAACTGCATATGGAGGATAGAAGGAGGTTAGAGGTGTCAAAAAATGAAATAATGGTCAACAACAAGAAAAGAGATATATAGCAAGGGTCATGAAAGAGGGCTCAAGAATCAGAAATGTCACTAACATTTGGTAATCAGTAGCCGTAACAGAAGCAAATGTGGCAAAATATCAGTATTTGTCAAATCTTGGTAGTGAACATAGGTGTTTGTAGTATTTTTTCTTTAAATAGTGTGGTGTGTTTTAAATGTTTTCTTTTTACAAAGAACAACAATAGAAGAGCAACCACCTCCTAATGGCTGGACCAAAATGGATGTGTCAAAGCAGCATCATTCAAATCCCTTTACTTTGATGGGTGCTGAATCCCCACCTTTGCGAGCAGAGCTTGTATAGTTGTGGCAAAACAGTTCATTCCCACACACGGCTGGATCAATACATCGAAAAGAAGCTGTGGAAATATAAATGAAAAGACATTTCCTTGGGTTCTGTGCTCCTGCTCCTGAGAATTTATGCAAGGGAGACGATCATTCAAAAGAAAAAAGGATAGGGTGCCTGGGGTGGCTCAGTCAGTTGAGCGTCCAACTCTTGATTTCATCTCATGTCATGATCCCAGGGTCGTGGGATCAAGGCCCACATTGGGCTCCATGCTGAGCATGGAGCCTGTGTGAGATTCTCTCTCTCTCTTTCCCTCTGCCCCTCTCCCCTGCTTGCGCTACAATAAATAAATAAATAAATATAATAATAATTTTTTTTAATTTAAAAATAAGAAAAAAGAATGGAGGATAGGTAGATGAAAACATTGGGGACAAAATTGTTAATAACAATGAAAAACTGGAAATAAAGTAACCCTGGGGGAGTGCTCACCACTGTTCCCACTCTGGTCGTGCCACCTTTATCTTCCCCTAGATCACTGTGGTAGCCTCTGGTTGTCTCTGCTTCCACCCTTACACCTACAGTGTACTCTCAGCGGCCAGAGCAATCCTTTTAAAAGGAAATGAAATCGCGTCCCCACTTATCTTCCAAAGGTTCCCAACTCCCTCGCTGCTACTACCCCTGGCCTGAGCCACCACCTCCGGGGCCTGGATTTCAGGGACCGTGCCCTCACTGCTCTCCCCCTTTCCATATTCATTCCTTCCCCTCAAAGCAACAGTGAAAGTGTTCCTTTTTCAAATCATAAATCGGATCATGTCACTCCTCTGCTCAGAACCCTGCAGTGGCTTCCCGTTTGACTCAGAATACACCCATATGACTCAGAGTAAAGTCAGAGTACACGTTCAGAGTAGCACACAAGGACCTCATCTCCTGCCCTGCCCCACTGAATCCTTTTCATTGGCTGTTTCCTCTACTCATAATGTTCTTTCTCCATATGTCCACATGACTCGTTCCTTCACTTCCTTCAGGTGATAACTCAAATCTCCCCTTCTCAGTGAGATCTTCGCTAACCACCGTATTTTAAATGTTACCACTCCAGCACTGAGTGCTGAGTAATGTATAGAATTGTTGAATCATTACATTCTACACCTGAAACTACTATAACACTGTATGTTAATTTTACTTGAATAAAAAAAAATTAATATTACCATTCCAGACACTATCATCTGACTTTTCTGTTTTGTATTTTCTCTTAGCATTTATTATCTTCTAACATAATAAGATAACTTTACATATCATTTTTCAAGTGTCTATCTGGCCTGCCCCAAATACATGTATGCTAGAATTAAACTCCAGGAAAAAAAGAATTTTTATCTATTTTGTTCATAGCTATTTCCCCAGGACCTAGAACAGTATGTGGCATATAGTTGACGTTCAATAAATGTTTGTGAAATGAAAGCACAAATGGTTAAGTAAATTGGGTTATACCAAGATGTGGGAAGATTAAGCAATCAGATAAAATTGTACCCTACTGTGTAACAATATAGAAAAGGACATATGATGTAACCTGTTCAAAGCTTATGATGCAATGTTATGTGATCAAAACTACATTGATATGGGTTTGGCAACATTGTTCTTTTCTGGTTCTTTTGTTTCCCTTCCCTTAGAGTTTTCAAGAGATGCCTGACTAGCTGTCTCAGTGGGTGGAGTATGGGACTCTTGATCTTGGTTTGTGCGTTTCAGCCTCATGCTGGGTGTAGAGTTTACTTAAAAAAGAAAAAAAAAATGTTGGAGTTCCCAAGTTTGCCTTGGTCCTCTTGCCATTTCTATCTACCAATACTATAGCTTATTTAGCATGTCGTCCAAACCACCGTCTCGGGCCCAGGCTGTTTTCAGCTTACCCACATTATTCATTACTCATGTTGTTTTGTATACACCTCTATTGGTAGTTAGATACCATTCTGGGAATAGCTATCAGTCTGTTGCATAAAAATAAGATAACTCTTCCAGGATAAGATGACCAGAACATGTTACTAAGAACTCAATAAATGAGTAATACAAGACAGTAATAGAGTTCATACTGTGTGCCAAGTACCTCTAAGAACTTCACATATTAATAGTATCATTTAATTCTCACAGCAGCCCTGTGAGAGGTGTAAGGTAGACATGTCTTTATTATACAGACGAGTAAATAAGGAAATAGGATTATAAAAAACAGTAACCAAAAAGTATGCAGACGTTAAATTAAGTATTAAAGAGGGGGAGGAGGATTATGAGTGTTTTTTGTCTTTCAAAAAAGTTCTTTAACATTGTAGTTAAGCTGCGTCTGTGTGTATTGTGTACGCGTATGCGGGCGAATCTGTACGCGACCAAATAAATTAACTACTTTAGTGGGCAAACACAGCAACCGGATATTGTAGGGCAGGGTCTGGGAAAAAGGGAGGAACCCAGAGGTACAAACAGGTCGAGCCCGCCTCCACCAGTGAGCAGCCTGCCGAGGCGGGGGCGGGCGGCAGGAGGAGCAACGGGCCCCACCCACGGAAACGAGTCCTTACCGGGAGGCCAACCGGCCTCTCCTTGCAAATAGAGTGCGGAGGCTGTGGGCGGAGCCACGCCTGAAAGGATCCAGGGGCACCGATTGGCTGACGCAGAGATGGGGCGGGCTCTAAGGCTGGCCCAGCCCCGCGGAGGGGAGGGACCTGCGCGCGAGTCTCCTGGAGAGGAAGGAACCCGGCGCTAAGCGCGCTTTGAATCGTAAAAGTCTACAGCACCCTGGGCCCTAGAGGCGGAGCCGGAAGCTCTACGGGTTTCAGCTCTGAGCCCCTCTGTTTTCGAAGGGGCAGCCCTCTTCCTCTAGCCCGGGGCTGCCTCCCTCCTCCCCCTTCGCCCGGAGGCCGAAGCCCCCAGCCTGGCCTGGCGGTGCTGCGGCAGCTCCCGGACCCGGAAGAAGCATTAACTCTCGTCTCCGCCATGGAGCCCACCGCGCCGTCCCTCACCGAGGAGGACTTGACAGAAGTGAAGAAGGACGTAAGTAGCATAGCCTGGTCCAGATGCCGCCGAGGGCCGGGGGTCGAGGGGGGGCAGGGGCAGGCTGCGGCCCGGCGGGCAAGGAAAGCGGAAACCCGGAGTGGGAGTCCGAGTCGGAAAAGAGCCTGCGGGTCAGAGAAGCGGAAGGTCCAGACACCGCAGGACTGCTGGGAGCCCTACATCCGAGGGCCTTGGTGGAAGTGATCCCCCGTGACCTGTTAATCTACGTTTTAAATCGCTAAAAGCAGGGCTTGGGTTTCTGAAACCTTGTCCAGTGGAGCGTTTCTTCGCAGTCAGCTGTTTGCCCACTCTTCACTCTTACTCTGGTGTTTTTTGTTTTTTTTTTTACCCCCGCTGTACTTTGGAGCTGCGTTGTTGGGAATCGACTGCCCAGGTTCGTCCTTGAGTCAGACTCCTTAGGCCGTTGGCTCAACCTGGAGCAAAGTCAGTTAAAGGATCCCAAAGCAAATATGTGAAACTCTTTTATAAAGGGGGTTGGGGGAAGCTCAACAGCTGAAAGCACAACCTGGAATTCCCCTAGTAGGCAAACGCCCACATATTTAAATTGAGGGGGGGGCGGTGTAGTCGAAAATTAATATACAGGTAAATGCTGAAAATACTCAGTACCTAAATTAGTCTCTTTTGCTTGGATGTTGCAGAACTGCACACATCTTAATACTTATTTGCAAAGAATGACTTTGTTAAGGTAATTCTTGTTCTCTTTTGCTTTTAATTGTTTTGCCATGTGAGACCTATAGGAGTACCACTAAAATACTTTACATAATTTCAAATTAAAAACAGAAACTCAAAAAAAAAAAAAACCTGCCAAAACAGAAACTCAACAGAAAATGAGTTCTGGTTTAACACTGCAGTATGTATACAGAATCATCTTTGTGAACTGGACAAAACAGCAGCTTTTTAAACGTTAATCTACCTTAAATTCTTCCCTTTTCCCTCCCTGGAAAGGTTTATTACACTGAACTCGCAATTACAATTGGTATGACTCATCAGTAGAAGGAAACTGGCTATGACTGGGATTTGTGCCTTAGGTTCCTCATTCAGATATTTATGGAGCACTTACTGTATGGATAAAGTACTGTTCTTGGGCCTGGAAAGAAAAAAAAAGGACAGTCAGGCCTCTGCTTTACATTCTATTTGAGATAAGACTGGGACACTGATAACTACTGTACAATACCTGAATGTTGTTTTATATAAAATTTGTGCCAGTAAAAACAGGAATGTCAAGAACTAAGCCTTCAGTGTTCCAGGTTTTTTTGTCACACACTTTGCAATGTTTCCATTTAATCTTTACAGCAGCCTCTGAGGGAAATAATTATCGTCCCCAATTTACAGCTGATTAAAAAAAAAAGGGGTTGTGAGAGGTTAGGAGTGGGCATAAATATAAAACCTGTACACAATCACAGATATGAGGAGTGTCTCCCAGGTCTTAATTCATTTTTTTCCTATCAGTTCATTGATACTATGCATCTCCATGATTTCAATTTATAGCTATATCAGAAATTCATAACCTTGAGGAATCATGAATGGGTTTCGGGAAGTCTATTAAAAAAAAAAGTATGTGCATATTTTTTTCTTAGAAATTTTTTTCATGCTATTTTCAAAACGGTTGATGACTTCAGAAGGTTTTAAAATTATACACAGGGGTGCCTGGATGGCTCAGTTGGTTAAACATCCGACTTTGGTTCAGGTCATGATCTCATAGTTTGTGAGTTCCAGCCCCACGTCGGGATCCATGCTGACAGCTCAGAGCCTGGAGCCTGCTTCAGATTCTGTGTCTCCCTCTCTGTCTCTGGCCCTTACCTGCTCTCTCTCTCTCTCTCTCTCTGTCTCAATAATAAACATTTAAAAATTAAAAAAAATAAAATTATCATACACATATTTGGACTTCCTTATCTGTCAGCTCTAGGTGCTTATTTCCAAATATCTGCTGGAAATCCACTTCTTTTTTCTGCACACTCAAAAACTGAACTTTTTATTATCCCTTCCCCAAAGCTGCTTGCTGTCCCTGCTGTATTCTCTGTCTTGATGGATAGTGTACCACCACCCATCCTCCTGGAAAATCCCACTTTTTCACTGTGCTCCTTCCGTCCCCACCTCCTGCCCCCATCTAGTTCTTTACCTCATCTTTTTGGTTGAATTTAGTTCTGTTTCATAAATATGGATTACATTCTGCTGTGAAGCATGGGTGATTCTAACAATTCAAAAATTAAAAACTAAGACACAGTCCCAGTTTGAAAAGCTTGATTTCTTGGAAGGAGGGAGACAGACATAAAACGATAATCTCCAATTACGGGATAAGTGCAATGTATTTTACATTCATCTATAACACTACTTGACATTCTGATAAGTGCAAGATATACAGAGTTGAACAAAACATATCTGGTTTTTGCCTGCTTTAAACATACAGGTCGTTAGGGTTGAAAATTAATAAATATATGATTACAGATTAAGCTAAGTACTATGAAGGAGACAGGTGTTGAGACAATAGCAGGGGGGAATCTACTTGCAATAGGATGGTCAGGGAAGATTAGATTTAAATTGGCTGCTGAAGAATATGACAGAACTGGGGGAATAATTCTATTCTAGGCAGAATAGAATTTGCAAAAGACCTAAAGCAAGCAAGACCTTGATGACTTGGGGAAATTGGAAGAAGGCAGAAGGCAGCAGGTGCCCTGAGGTGAAGTTAGAAAGGTGGGCTAGAGCTAGATCATAAAGGGTCTTAGAGACGGTAATAAAGTGTTAGGATTTTTTCCCCAAGTATAGTAGGGACCTATTGAAGAATTATATTTTTAGTCTCCTTGCGTATTGTATGAACTGAGGAGAGCAGAAGTGAGAAGAGGAAAACCAGTGCGGAGATTCTTAGAATTTATATAGTTGAGAGCTAATGGGTGATTTGGATCAGGGTCAAAGCAGGCAAAATGGATGGAACAAGGGAATTCCAGATGGATTTTTGAAGTAGAAATGATATCACTTGGTGATAGATTTAGTTGAGAAAGAGAGTGGAATTAGATTGGTAAGTGAAAATGTCAAATCAGCTATTAGACCTACAAGTCTGAAGATCAGAAAGGAGATCTGAGCTAGAACTATAAATGTGGGATTGAATGAGTTCACCTAGGAAGTTGAGAGCTGGAAGGGAAAAGGGAGATCACAGGGGAGTTTTACAAAGTGAAAGGTTACAGCCACAGAGATGAGAATGAAGCCAGGAGAGTGTGGTATTCCTCTAAAACAAGAAAAGAGTATTTTAAGGAGGGAGTGGTCAACTGTGTCCACCCTATTGAGAAGTAAGATGAAGACTGGCAAGTATCAGATTTGACAGGAGGTCACTGTAGCTGAGAAGAGTAGTGAGACATAGTGGAAATGAATTGTGGAGTCCTGCTATATAGAAAAGTGAAATATATGCACAGGATGCTACAGGGACAGAGGAGAGGGGTGCCTAACTCCGTCTAGGGAGTTTAAGCAAAGCTTCGCGAAGGAGATGCCCACTGTGCTCAATCTTAAAGGATAAATGCAGACTTTGGGTATGAGAGGAGAAAACAAGACAAAGGTAAAAACACAATGAACTGTAGAGTGATAAACAGCAATTTTAGGTAGAATATGATGTACCAGGACACATGGAGGTGGTGATAGATTAAGCTGGAGAGGTAGGCAGGATCCATACTATGAATTGCCCTGTCTGCCATTATCAAACAGCTATTATTTATTGAGTACTTACTGTGTATTGGGAACTGTGTCGAGCCTTCATATTCACTTAGTCCTTCTGAAGGTCCTTCAAGGGAAGTGTTTATCACTATTTTTTCAGTAAGGAACCCAAAGCTTAGAGGGGTTAAATAACTTACCCCAGCTCTTACAGGAGTATATGGCAGATTTAAGATCCGAACTGAAGTTGGCCTGATCCAGAGCCAAACTCGACCTCTCCACTGTTCTGCCATAGTTGAGGAACTTCATCTTTTAAGTTGGTGGAACACACTATTTTAAATTTTTACAAAATTCACTGACAGTATTTCAATATTAGTAAAATTCATATGGTACTTTTTTTCTTGAAAAACTGGAAGATCTAATAGATGTGTGAAGGAGACATTTGAGTGGGAGGAAAGAACTAGGAAGTACAGCTAGGTGTCTATTCTTAATAGTCCATGCAGCATATGATAAAGACCTGAACTAAGGCAAGATTATAATAGAGATGAAGTGAAGGGGCAGATTCAGTAAAAATAAGGAGTAAATTGGCAGGACTTGGTGGATGGGTGATCAGATATGGCAAGTGAGTGAAAGACAGGAAGTCAAGGATGAGTTGTAGGTTTATTGTATGATTGGATGGGTGGTGGTACTCCCAAATTAGTTAAGAATATCAGAGGAGGGGCACCTGGCTGGTTCACTTGATTAAACATCAGACTCTTGATCTCAGCTCAGGTCTTGATCTCGGGGTTGTGAGTTCAAGCCCCGCTTTACAGTCCACACTGGGAGTGGAGCCTACTTAAAAAACAAAAAAAGAATATCAGAGGAAAGGGACAGGCAGAGGTAATAAATTTGGTTTGGGACATGTTGAATTTGAAGTACCTTTGGAGGGGCGCCTGGGTGGCTCAGTCAGTTAAGCGTCCGACTTCAGCTCAGGTCATGATCTCACAGGTGGTGGGTTCGAGCCCCGCGTCTGGCTCTGTGCTGACAGCTCAGAGCCTGGAGCCTGTTTCAGATTCTGTGTCTCCCTCTCTGCCCGTCCCCCACTCGCGCTCTGTCTCCCTCTGTCTCAAAAATAAAAAAACATTAAAAAAAATTTTTTTTTTTTTAAAAATGAAGTACTTTTGGAATGTCCAAGTACCTTTGGAAAGTCTTGATTGCATATACAAATTTGGGAATGATCAGCATCTAAGTGGTAAAAATGACAGCAGATGGAGTTTTTCAAGTTCAGGTTTTTTTTTTTTTTTTTAATTTTTTTAAATGTTTTTATTTATTTTTGAGACAGAGAGAGGCAGAGCATGAGCAGGGGAGGGGCAGAGAGAGAGGGAGACACGGAATCCGAAGCAGGCTCCAGGCTCTGAGCTGTCCTCACAGAGCCCGACACGGGGCTCGAACTCACAAACTGCGAGATCATGACCTGAGCTGAAGTCGGACACTCAACCGACTGAGCCACCCAGGCGCCCCTTTAATTTATTTTTTTTAAGTTTGTTTGAGAGACAGTGCGGACACCAGTGGGGGAGGGGCAGAGAGAGAGAGGAAGAGAATCCCAAGCAGGCTCCACTCTGACAGCACAACTGTGATAGTGCAGCTTTATCTCATGGACCATGAGCTCAGACCTGAGCCGAAATCAAGAGTCGGTCACTTAACCAACTGAGCCACCCACGTGCCCCTCGAGGAGTTCAGCTTTTAAATCTATTGTCTCCATCCCCACAGCTTAAATTCATACACTCAACATAGCTTATGTAAAATATGGCAGCAATCTTCTTATGGGTCTCCCAATTTTTGCTCCCCCCAACCCCCAGTCCTCTGCAGAAGTTTTTTTTATTGCTTCTGATTTATAAACCTTTGATGACCTTTTGGCTACAGGGAGATGTATTTTCCTCAACATGTTATAACAGTTCTTCCCTAATCTGACCTGTTTTCCTTTCCAGCTTAATTTCTCACCACCCTCACATGCACCCCTCATCCCAATTACCCTAGTCTTGTTAGTGTTTCCCTCTGTGCACCTTCATGCTACAAGTATAGCCTCTGTAAACTTCCCAGGTCTAGAGGTACAGTTAGTTGCTTACTCTGTGCTTTCCCAGTACTTGTGTTTTTTTTGGGTTTTTTTGTTTTTTGTTTTTTGTTTTTTTTTTGTTTTTTTTTTTTAATTCTGGGTCTTTTCACATTGTTTTATAATTACTGGCTTGAGTTTGTTATGTATTCTCCCAACTAGACCATGTGCCCTTTGCATGCAGGATCCAAGCCTTGTTCATCTTTGTATGCTCAGCACATAGCATAGTAGGTATTTAGATATACGAAATGTTTGTTGTGTGAATACATAAATGAATGTGGGAATTCAGTGGCCTGAGAACTATAGGAACCCTTCACCTAGCTTGCTTTCCTGCCACCATGTACTAGGTAGGTAGGGTATTTCTAAGATCTTTCATTCCCTCTAGCTCATCATGATACCTGTGAGTCCATTTAGTCATCACTGTCTTCATCGCTAACATTTATTGACCACTTACTATTTACCAGGCACATTTCTAAGTATTTTACATGTATTTATTTCTCATAATATTCTGATGAGGAAACTGAGGCACTGAGGAGTTAACTTACCCAAGATCACATATCTAGTAAATGAAGGAGCTAGAGTATAGTCAGCAGAATCAAATTATTAATGCTATTTATTGGGACCCACATCAGTTTTCTGCTAATTAAATTTCCTGAGGCACTTCTCAGATCTAGGTCTGTTTTCTGTGATTTCCTTTTCATTTCTTTAATTCCTTCCAACATTCACTATTTCTTTAGCGTTTGCCTCCCCACCCCCACCCCTTCTGCTTTCCTTCTCCCAACTGACTCACTGAGTTAGTCTTTCCAACTGACTCCAAAGATAGATACATTATGAGTCCTTTTAGTGCAGGGTTTCTGTTGTTATTATTATTGTTATTATTATTGTTACTGTTATTTTGTTTTACTCTAGGAAAATGGAAAATTAACAAACATGAGAAAGTTATAAATTATGAGACCTCACTAAGCTCTCCTCTTTGGTCCTGACTAATCTCGGATTCCTTGTTAAATGGTAACTAAAATGTATGGAAGCCTCTGCTCTCATCTGTACCCCTGAAGGTGGAGGCGCGCAGCAGACCTCCCTCTTTCCACGACCCAGGCCCTCTAGATTCACCCCCTCCTCATAATAGCCTGGTCTCGGTGTGTAGGTGTGAAGATGAGATTAAAGCAGCATAGAAACTGAGCAATGTTTAGTCTAGGACCTACTTCTGTCCGCTTGGCCGTTTGTCTTAATAACATAGATCTTAGTAGGCCTGAGTTTCTTGACTTCAGTACGTTTTCTCCCACCAGTTAAGATTCTAATAATAGTCACCTAATAATCAGTCACCTATGTGATTTCCTCTGGTGTTTAAAAAAAAACAAAAACACTGAAGCATGGTTTGTATCTTTTAGGCTTTAGAAAATTTACGTGTATACCTGTGTGAGAAAATCATAGCTGAGAGACATTTTGATCATCTACGTGCAAAAAAAATACTCAGTAGAGAAGACACTGAAGAAATTTCTTGCCGAACATCAAGTAGAAAAAGGGCTGGAAAATTACTAGACTACTTACAAGAAAACCCCAAAGGACTAGATACGCTGGTTGAATCTATTCGGCGAGAAAAAACACAGAACTTCCTGATTCAGAAGATTACAGATGAAGTGCTGAAACTTAGAAATATAAAACTAGAACATCTGAAAGGTAAACTATTTTAAGTGGCCAAGAATTCATTTAAATGTGACAATGCTTTCATTTATTTGTTTTTTTTTGTTTGTTTTTTTTGTTTGTTTGTTTTTTAAACTTCTTTTTTTTTTTTTTTTTTTTCAACGTTTTATTTTTTTATTTTTGGGACAGAGAGAGACAGAGCATGAACGGGCGAGGGGCAGAGAGAGAGGGAGACACAGAATCGGAAACAGGCTCCAGGCTCTGAGCCATCAGCCCAGAGCCCGACGCGGGGCTCGAACTCACGGACCGTGAGATTGTGACCTGGTTGAAGTCGGACGCTTAACCGACTGCGCCACCCAGGCGCCCCTGCTTTCATTTATTTGTAATGTTTATTGAATTTTAAATTTTTATTTATTTTTGCTATTTATTTACTTTTGAAAGAGAGAGAATGTGAGTGAGCGAGGGGCAGAGAGAGAGGAAGAAAGCGAGAATCCCATGAGGTGCAGTTAGAAAGAGGAAGAGAGCATAGGGCCCGGAGCAGGGCTTGAGCTCAGCCGGTGCGGGGCTCGAACTCATAAACTGTAAGACCATGACCTGAGCTGAAGTCGGATGCTTAACCAACTGAGCTACCCAGGTGCCCCTGACAGTGCTTTTAAAAGTAAAATACAGAGGTTCCAGGCTGGCTCAGTCAGTAGAGCACGTGACTCTTAATTTCAGAGATGTGAGTTCAAGCCCCACATTGGGTGTGGAGCCTACTTAAAATTTAAAAAAAATTTTTTTTCTTGAAAAATACAAAACTGAAAACCCAGAAATGATCATTTTGTTTTTATTCAAAAAGTTTCAGCTTCAGAATTACATTTGATTTACATTGTTTTTACCTTTTATCATGCCATTTCACTGGAAAAGTGGACGACTATCACTCAGTGTTCTGAGGGTAATGAAATCTGAGTTCTAACTGTAATGAAATCCCGGTATACGCAGGAGCTGGTTTCTGAAGTCAGCAGAATGTCAGTTCAATC